GGGGAGGCAGCGTCTCCCCCCGTGCCCGCGCCCCAGCACCCCAGCTCGGTCCGAGGCTGCAGCCGGAGGAGGCGGCTTCGCGCGCCCCTTTCGCGCGCGCTCCCCGCTTGGGTTCGGGACTCGAAGAGCCACCCGCCCCGACCCTAGTCGGAAGCCGGGGCGGCTCGCCCCCCAGCCCCGAGCGGGCCCGTTCCCCTTTTCGCCTTCACTCACTGCCGGGCTCGGACCTGCGCCGCCAGCGCAGGCTGTAAGGCTGTGGACGCGCCGCCGGGGGCTGCCCAAAGGCTGGGCCCCCCGCTCCACTTTGCGCAAACTTGTTTTTCTAAGGTCAGCGCCGCGAGCTGGTGAAGGCGTCCTTTTAAGGTGGACTGGGGAAGTTGCGGCCGGTCTACCCTCGCCTCCGGACTCCGGCCATGGTCAGTTCCCGGTTAGTTCCTGCTCCCCGCTGGTGGAGGCTGGGGGCGGCACAGGCGCGCGCGCGCGCGTATGTGTGTGTGTTGTTTGTGTGTGTGTGTGTGTGTGTGTGTGTGTGTGTAGGGGCGGAGGAGGCGCCGTTTTTTTTTTTTTTGCCCCTCACCAAGTAGTCCGGTCCTCTTGCCCCAAAGCTGAAGGACCCCTACTGGTGTGTGTTGCGGGGGGCGAGAGGGGCCCGATTCTTTCAGAGCTGGGCCGGGGTGAAGGAAAAGCAGGAAGTAAGTGAATGTGGGGGGAAGGGGGAGAGGAAGGAGAGAGTGATGGTACTAAAATAGAGCTTGTGTAGGAAGGACTTCAGTATCGCCTGGAAAAGAGGCGCAGGGAGGAGAGGGAGCTAAGAGGGGGGCTGTGGCAGGCAGGCGAGGGCAAGGGGCCGAAGTCTCCTCGCGGAGGTTGGTTCTCTGGCCAGGTACCTCTCTGCCGCAGATGGCGGCGGGTTCTGGGGGTGGTGGAGAAGGCCCTGGCAGGGGTGTGTGTTGGGGGGAACTTGATGGCCTGGGCTCCAGTTCATGGAAGACGACAGGCAATGAAGAAGATGAGAGCCAAGGAGGAGAGCAGGGAGAGAGGCCTGGAAGCAGAGAACAGAACCTTGTGGTGAAAAAAAACAACCCTGCTTTGTCTCTCTTTTTCTTTTTCCTTGAGGGAACCCTGTGTTCCCCACAGGGGCCAGGTCAGTGCTGGGGAGTGCTGTGATCCCCTGGCAAAAACAAGGCTCTGGCCTGTGAGAGGCTAATTAGAGGGCCCTTGAGTGGGAAATAAGCTCACAGATAACCAATTTTGCTTCACTAGACTGCTAACCAGAGGGCTGGTGGTTCAAACCCACCAGCAACTCCTCAGAAGGAAAATGGGGCAATCTACTTCTGTAGTGATACTGCCTTGGCAACCCAAGGAGGGGTCGCTATGAGTAGGGTCCGACTCCACACTCCACGGCACATAACAACAACAACAACAGGCCGTTAAAGAGGAACTAATGATGAGTGCTTGACTACTAGCGGAAAGGTTGGCGCCTCAGAAGACAAGCCTAGTGTTCTGCTTCCCTAGGGGGCAGTTCTACTCATGGGGTCACCAAGAGTTAGAATCCACTCCAGGGCAACTAACAACAACAACATCAACAACAGGCAGTTAAGAGATCTGCATGAAGCCAGGTCTGGGGAAAGGCCCAGCCCTGTAAGTGGAAGCAAGTTGAGGCCCACAGAGGGAGTGGACTTACCCAAGGCCACACAGCAAGGCCTTGAGTAGAAGCAAAATTTGAATTCCTGAGTTTTAGGTTAATAGCCCCCCACCCCCACGCCTCTCCCCTAGCCTCCCAGTCAAATGTTTGGCCCTGCTGTAATGCTAAGATAGGGAGGCTGGCTGAAAGCATGGGCCAGACTCCTTGGGTTCAAATCCAGCCACCACCTCTTATGAGCAGACTTGGGAAAATAACTTACCCTGTCTGAGCCTCCGTTTCCTCATCTGAAATGAGGCCGATGTGAATATCCACCTAAAAAGGCTGTTGTGAAGACTAGACAAATTAATATTTGTAAAACACTAAAAACAGTGCCCAGCATGCACCGAGTGCCACACCATTGTTTGGTAAATAAATAAAGTGTTTGATAACAATCCTTAGGAACCAACAGGGTTCTGGGCAGCATTTGAAGTGCAGGGGAATCCTCATTTCTCTGAATGGGAGAGATCCAACAGTGGCCTACACCTGTCCAAGAAGAATTTGCATTCTAGTAGGAGAGACAGTTAAGTAGACAAGTGCAAATAATTAATGAACAACTGAAGATTGAGAGAGTGAGAGAGGTGAGCTAATTTAGATGAGGGTTGTCAGGTCAGACCTCTCTGAGAAGCTGGGGGCTGAGTCACATAAAGGGCAGCAAGGTGAGGACTGGGAGAGAGAAAGGTATTCCAGAAAGAGAGAAGAGCAAACAGAAAGACTCCAGGCTTGTGATGTGAATGGATAAGCACTCAAATACTAGCCTAAATGTTGTCAGTTCAAACCTACCCAGAGGTACCTCTGGAGAGACAGGCCTAGCAATCTGCTTCTGAAAGGTCACAGCCTAGAAAACCCTATGGAACAGTTCTGCTCTGTACCCATGGGGTCGCCAAGAGTCGTGATCAATGCAACAGCAACTAACAACTGGCTAGGTTGGCTGGAGGGGAATGAGTGGAGCTTGCGGAGGGCTGCGCAGCCGTGCAGGCCTTGGGAAGGAGCCTATGTTTATTCTGCAGATGGGAAACCATTGGAGGGCTTTAAGCAGGGGAGTGCCAGGGTCTGATTTATGTGTTTAAAAGGGCACTCTGGCTGCCAGTGGAGCATGGGTTGGAGGGATGGGAGCGTGGAAGCAGAGTACCAGTGAAGTCCCTAGCACTCAAGTTGGACCAGGGAGAAGTCTCCGAGTCTTCAGGCAGGGTCTGGCTGGGACCATGAAGATGGCTATCACCTATATCCAGGGGCTGCTGAGGATGGTCAGAGATGAGGCAGCTATTACTGGCTTGAGCTTCCAAAAGGCTCTGCCAGTTCACTGTCCTCTATGACACACATACGTACACAAACCTGCCCAGGATTAGGAACCAGCTTGGATTAGGGAAGGATAATAATTGAACCACCTGCTATTTATATATAGCACCATTAGCAAAGGCGCTCAACAGGACTCCTGACGCAGGGGCCTTTTTCATCCTCATCTCCCACCCCCCAGCCCCAGGAGGGGCCCTGGGCCTTGTTCTCCAGATCCCAAGTCTATGTAAAATCACTCTTGGCCAACTGTCAGCACTGGGAAGTCATTGAGACCAATAGGAAGATAGGTAAACTATGGTTGGGGGTGGCAACTTGCCTGAGGTCCCATAGATTACGACAGATAAATGATATGAATCAGCCACCCCCATGGCAAGTTGCTGGAATGTCCTGGATCAAAATAGAAATGCCTTTGACATGTGTTATTCATTCATGCACTCAACAATCTTAAGCAACTATTAAGCAACTACTATGTCAGAGTAGTTCTGGTAGCATACCAGAGGAGCTCTGGTAGCATAGTGCCTAAGGCACTTGACTGCTAACCAGGAGGCTGGCGGTTCAAACCCACCAGCCACTCCTCGGAAGGAAGGTTG